GAAATACAGTTGTGTCTGTCGAATCATGGTCGCACAAGAGGATTCTTATGCACGTATGGAATTCCATAGGTTATATAGGGTTATTAGAGTCAATGGATGAATAATTCTTTGATGTTAAATTTTACCAAATTGGTATAAAACTAGTTAAGGATTTAACATTTACCTTATGAACTAATGTGGTATAGAATGCATTAGATCCTTAAAATACAAGGTATAAAGTGGTATGAGACACTTTATGCCTTATCTGAATGTTAAGTCAGTCTCTAGGACTACCAAGGAAGAAAGTTGATAAGTTGCTTGTAACTAAAAGTGTATTTGCTTTATTGGACTATACATATGACAAACTATATGAGAATGATTCACTAAGGATAAGAATCAATTAAAGCTAAGTTAAAAAAAAATTGAATATTTTCGTTGTTAGAAAAATGTTGTTATAAAAGGTGCTTAACCTGTTCAATTTTAGAAATATTTATACATAATTTGTCATTTTTATCAAGTAAAACTAAGGGTACTAGTAAACAAATTATCTTTAAAATGTATTAAAAAACATGAAAGAGAATTGTTAATAACACTTGTTTTATATTTCTTATTTTTTATTCTTTAATAAGTATCTTAAGAGGGCTCTCTTTTTAATATTTTTTTAATAAAAAAAGTTTAAAATATTCTTCTGTGATAAACTTGGAATTTTTTATAGTGAAGTGTTTTTCACCTTTTTTAAAATGTTTTTAGATTTATAACTTAAAGATAATAAAATTATTGACAAATTCTTAGTAGATGTATAAATCTTATTAAAATTTAAATATAATTATATCATGTATTTTGAATGCAGTCCCGTTGACAAGAGACGACATCATTTTAAAGAGTTGGTGAAGTGAACGTGGCAAAATAATTTTAATTAGCAGAAATGATATTCCATAAAATTTTAAATTTAAGTTTACTTACAAAGCTTAATTTAGATTTAACGAGTACAATTCTAATTTTAAACATTAATTTTAGACCAATTCTATGAGCAAAATAGACATACAAGAGTAATCACACCTTAAAACAACTTCATTTATTATGTTTGTGTCGGTTCTAATTTGTCTACCGAAAGTTCCCTAACATTTTCCTAATAACAAGTTATGCTAGATTGCTATTTCTAGAAGGAAGTACAGCTGATTGCATCAAACTTAAAGTTCAGGTAACTTGTTCGCTCAAAATCCTCAATTACAAGAAAATGAAAAATAATCATAGCTAGTTCAAAGGAGAGGCCATTAAATCATGTGCTTCAAGCCTCTCTTTATTAAAGCCTAGTTTTTGGTAAGATATCATGTACATAATAATAATAAAAAAAAAGTAATAAAATTTTTAAGTTAAATTAAAATATATTGTTAAAGGTTAATATTTTGTTTTCATAAAAAATTCTAAAAATTAATTGCTGAGCAACAAATAAAATCAATATTAGAAAGAAAAAAAAAGATCACAGTAATCAGTATCTAAAAGGTATGGGTTAACAAAATAACAAAGAATTATCTTTACTAAACATCATAATGGAGAGATGTTGCAATTTACAATAAAAGTGTATTTACTAAAAAATATTACCTTTAACTTATTGTAACTTTTTATATAAAATATGCATTTTATTTTTTAAAAATATATTCATCACCTTTTAAAATTAGACCTTACATAATATTTTTTTAAAAATACCTTACAATTTGTTATAGACTTCTTTTTTTTTTTTTTTGTCAACATAGACTTTCGTTTATATTGAGTGAGCCCTGCATGAAAAAGTAAACGATAGAGATAAAAGATTTTTTTTTTAATATTTATCATCACATTATTATTACTATTAAAAATAAGGTCTTTTAATTATTTAGTAGTAATTAGATCAATTATCAATCATATAGATAAAATAAAGTTGGAATTTGTTTGTCTGACTGTTTAGAAGAAATTCAACATAAAGTCAATCATATATATTGAATAAATTTATTTTAAAATTATTTATTAAATTAATTTCTTGTATACATTATATTCATTAAATTGATATTAATTTTAAATTATTTAATATAAAGTCAATATATATTTGTACTTGTGCAAAATTTAATTTAAATACATTAATAATATAAAAATATGTATGACTGTCAAATGATGAATAGTCAGTCAAAATTATTGATTGTTGTCAAAATTAATATAAATATTATGTTTATGATACATTTTAATTAATTAATTGTAAAAAAAATATCACATTAATAATACATTAAAATTAAGTTCATGGTATAGCTATTTAATTTTGATAAATTTAAAATAAAGAGTTAAATAATATAAATATAATTTAATAGTTGAATCTATTAAAATTGTATTTTATATAAAATTATAAATATTGTAAGAGATAATCTATCTTCTATTGTTATACTATATGTGTACAATATGTTAAGTAGTCTTTGGTCAAAAGTGTTGGATATCTTTGTATTTAAGAACTAGTCCATATATAATTATGCTTGACTTGTTATTTTTCTCTTCTTGTCACTTTTATTTTTCTAGAAACCAAAATTGTAGGAGTTGCTCCCTCAATAGTTAGATTGATCATCATTTTTATCAATTAGTCATCGAATTCTTTATTGGAAGCTAATGATTCAATATATATTGAGAAAGCATGTGGTTTAAATAATTTTTTTCTTAATTTTATTCTGTTGTATTCAAATTTTTAAAAATTATTAATTTTGCTTAATTATAAACATGCATGCTTAGTTTTTTTTACTCATTATTCACCGTTATATTAATTATTATTATTATTTAGCAAAAGTAATAATATTTACGAGACAATGACATAGTACAAAGTGGGTTAAGGCAAAAGTGGTTTGACTTATGTGGGTATGAGCAGAGAAGGTGGGTGTGATGTCAGGGTAAGTTTGGTTGTGGCGTGCTGGGGTTGTTGGTTGACTCTCCGCGCAGTGTTGACCCATTTATCGCTCACTTTTTCTTTTTTCTTTAATGTGAGAATAAAGAAAGTAAAAACCAAGACAAGTGTGGCCCTAACCCCCTAAATTTATTAAGTTTTCAGTTTTCTTAACTTATGATTCTTTTTTCTATCTGTTCATAAATTATAAAGTTATGGATAATTATTAAGTAGCGTTATGTATAATTTTTTATGGAAATTTATATTATATTATTATTTGTGGTTTTTTAATATATATTTTTTCATTAAAAGTATGATATTTTCTATTATCAGTGGAACAAATTTTGGAATATTTTATAATTTTTAATAAAATTTTACTATATATAAATTTGATATATTAAATCATGTCTTATATATCTATTTTGTGTTTATATATTATTTTTAATCTATTTCATGAAATAATGTTCAGTTAGAAAGCTTTCAACTAATAATGCGTTTAAGATGAGAAGATGATTATATTCTTTCTTATATTTATTTTTGCGTACGATAGCTTCTTCTTTTTTTAAGTTAAATATATCTAAAATATTAAATTGAATTTATCTTAAATAATTAATTAGTTTTTCTTATATTTCACTGGGTATAATATTCATTATTTTATGTAAAATTTCTCTCATATTAATACATATCATATTACTTGAAAGGTTAATTTAGTAATAAATTAGATCATTTGACACTTTTATTTAAACATTTCTTTTATCTTTTAAACATTTTTTTATATACTTATTCTAAACTTTTAATTTTAAATAGTTATTATTTAGTTTATCTTCCTATTTCTTTTTCTTCTTTATAAAAATATTAAAAAATTATGATTTATTTATTAATGGAATGATATTAGAAAAAGTAGATAAAGTAGGTAAAAAAAACATAAATTTTCGTTGAATAAAGACTCGTTAATTAATTAAATTTATAAAATTTTAAATTTTATTTCTGATTATAATTATGTCATTTTATTTTCAATATAATTATATCTCTGTATAGATTCATATCTCTATACTGGCCGCGTGGATTCATATAAACTTGGCACGCGTTAACGTAGTGGGGTGTGGTCCCACTAACTAAAGAAACAAAATGTCAAACTTCTTTAGAATTTTATCAGAAACTTAATGCTATTTTTATTATTATGAAACGTCTTTTTGTGAAGTTTAATTTTTCTTTCTCTAAGGTTCTTAAATTTCGCAAAGAGTTTTAAGTTTCATTAATTCGAGTTAAATTACATGAACATGTTTAATGAGTATAATTTTCTTTGTATTTATTTCATGAATAATTTTTAAAACTTTATATTATTTTTTAATTTTTATTTATTAAATAAAGAAATTATTTCATATTTTTAAATACTAAATTTTTTATTTAATATTTTTTATGAAATATTAAGATAATTAAAAAGAGGATAATGTATTGTTGGTTTTTTTATTTACTAGATTTGAATTCAAAAATATTATTTTAAAATAAACCAAACTTTTTATTTGTTGAATTAATAGAAAATTATATGATAATAAACCGTTAATGTAGAGCATATTTAAACAAAATTTGAAGAAGAAAAAAAGTGTACCATGAGTAAAAGCTTGTGTTCAGGTAACTTCAATGTGACCATATTATTCAACCAAAAACTAATTCAGCTCTAAAATTAAAATTATCCATTATTTAATTATCCATATTATAAAAATGTTGTTAATGTTAATCAATTCAAACTTTAACAATATAATATTTGTCGCTATTTTTTTAAAATCTTATTATATTCTCTTAATAATTTTTCTGTCACCCTACAAAATAAATACATATGTTTATTATTTTAAAAAACAATTTAACAAATAAAAATATTTATAGACATAAAAAAAGAAAATTTACAATTATCCATTTTGCAGAATTAAAAATTAAAATCACTTATATTATTTTGAGAAATTAAATCAATCAGTGTAAATGCCAAAAGAATTAATACTCCGAATTATTAAAATGTGTCCAAAGAAATTAGTCTTTGCCTTCACTTCAAGAAGAAAAAAGTAAAAATGTCACTGTTTCGAGGGTGTTACATTCCAAATTGTAATCCAACAAAAAGTAATGTATCTTCCTTTGTATTTGTGAGAAGAGGGAATAATATATATACATATAGATATATAGAATAGTATATTGCAAGGTCAAAATTCTTCAAACGGGAAGGCTCAACCAGGGAAAGGGATCAAAATTCTTCATCTCTCTCTCTCTCTCTCTCTCTCTCTGTTCTCTACACTCTCTTCTATGGCCCCAAACAAACTCAATTCCTCGGTAATTCTTCCCTGCTTTGATAATCTCCTTCTTAATTTCAGCTTCCAATTTGCTTCTCTTTGTTTTATTAATCTTAATTTTTGGTTTGGTTATTGTGTTTATATTGCTAGGGTTTTTGTTCACTAATCGGGTTTGTTCATTGGGCTGTTTGCTTCAAGCCCCATTTTGAGGTTGAAATTTTAGTTTGGACTTGTGCTCCTGGAATTTTGGAGCCTGGGAATTCTTTACTGTTACAACATGACTAAACTTATTTTCATGAGAAAATTCAATTGTTATGTAGAAAAGAAAAAATGAGGATGCCCAAAATGATTTATAGTTGAAGTTGACCTTGATTCCCTTATTACTCATAGGATCAGCATCACTAGGATTGCTTCTAGAACATGTCTAGATTCTTAGTTGGGATATATTGTAAATCTCTACTCTTGATGCCAGTTCGTGCTACCTCCATATCTTATTGACATGGAGCCATAGAGGATATATATGCTAATATGAATATCTACGAGTCATTGATATGTTCGGCTTATAAAAAAAGGGACAAAAGGAACTAGGTCCAAGATTGTCAATAGTTCTGTGATTTCTTTGTTCATATATATATATATATATATATATATATATAGGATATAGTCCACTACTAAGGAGGGCAGCAGTTTCACATATATCAGCATCAGTGACAAGTGTATTTCTTGGTTTGTCTGGTTTTCGTCATGTAACAGGGAAATACAAGTATGTCATGTTCACAGGCTGAGAATGGTTTTGTCAATTCCTTTTCTCTCTTCCCTGAGAAAGAAGTGCAAGAGCTTCTTCAAGCTCCAATCCAGGGGTCAGATGACCATCTTATAGAGTTCTCTGAAGCTTTAAGAAGTATGATCATATTCTGTTGAAATTATTAATATCAACTGCAGCAAGACATGATCTTGATACAAAGATCTTTGTCCTTATTTTATCTTAAACTCCTTCTAGCTGTCGCGAAGGCCCTCAGGCGAGTTGCCGAAGGAAAAGCTTCTGCTCAAGCTGAGGCTGCTGAATGGAAACGTAAATATGAGTTGGAGAGGGCACGGAATCTGAAGTTTGAACACACAGGTGCTAATAATTGAATAACTACAAGATGCGGCTTCTGTAGTTATATTTTCTATTCTGTAACAGTTGATATTGCTGAAGGAACATAATTTCTTTCATCTGATTTTGACTCAACTGTGGTTGTGCTCTCTGTATACTTGTAAATTGATGAGCAATATATTTCTTTTTGTTGCTTCTACATCTTTAGTTATATACAATGTATGTTTCTTCTGATTTTATTTTTTTCTATTCCAATTCATCCAAAATTGTTGTCGTAAGTCTGTGTTTAACACAATGGAATTCTCGTCTGAGTGATTAGAATTTGAGTTCTTATAGTTGTATAATGTTGTTTTGCAGGCTACTCTCTCAAATGAGAGTACCTTTCCGGCTTCGTTTTTTGTTTGATAATGTATGAAGCATTACAGTCTTTTATTCCCTTTATATAAGGAGTGATTTTGTTCATCACATTTTTCTGAACTTGGTTTTCCCTTGAATTCACTATGTATTCATGCTCACTTGACATGATATTGTATTTCAGAATTTAGGGGCTTCTATCCTAAATCCTGGGCTTAGTCAGTGAATTTGAGAAGTTTTTTAATTCTGATTTGATTTCTAATTATTTCATCTTAATAGTATTTTTATGTCCATTATTAAAAATAGAATACCCCTGCAATTTACATAAGGTTGTAAAAGAATTTAGTCTGATGGTCTCAATCCAGACCTGAGGAGAAAGTAAACAATTAAATATTTTGGATATTAATTGAATTCATACCTTCTGAAGTTCTAATATCTGCTGGTAATATTGAGGACCTCTTGAGATGCATTGATTGAAGCATCAATTTAACACCTACCTTCTGTTCACTGCTTGTTTTTATTACAGAGAAATCATGTCTAGAGCATCAGACTGATCTTGATGATGTGAGGTCAAATAACCCTGCCAAACAACCAACATTATATAATGAAGCTAATGGACAGTCTGAAAGATGTTGTTCAAGGAATGGTATTTGCTCCCACGAGGTTCTTAGGGATGGAACACCTGATTCTGATTCCAAGATGGTCAGAAAGGTATTTCATGAATCCCTACTTGAAGCAAATTGGGTTATTATGGTATGATCATCCTGTTGCAGTTGGGTTCCTATTGATATTTAATGCTTTGACATATTTGCATATGTGTGATGTGTTTGCATACCTATATAATCAATAAGCCATTTTGTTGATGGTTCTCATGTTCAAACATTCATATGGCTGAATAGATTACGAGTCTTCAGAACAGCACTGGCAGTTAAGCCTTGTGCCATTACATTCAAATGAAAACTGGGGTAATTACTAATGTTCTTACTGGTATGAAATTGTGAACTTACTGTTGAATTTTTTGTCCATTTTCCCATGACATTGTGCAAGTACCACCACCATATATTTTGACAAATTTGTCCTACCAGTAACTAATTCATATCCTCGAAGTGATTACAATTTTTGTCATGTCTGTTAATAATGTTAAAATTACCAATTAAGCCTTAACTGAACTTGATCTTTTTTATCCTTTTTTATGCAGGCTTCATTTAAACTTTCATGGTGCTGTAAAGGTGAGCAAAGTGATCAGCACAAACATGATGTTGTCTCTTTTGAAAGAGGAAATATAACTACTGCAGAGCGCAGTAGTAAGCAGGTATCTCTTCTGTTGTTGTGAGTGATTTGATTTTATTATTTAAATATTATTATTGCAATTGATAAGCTTGTGTGTCACTTTTCTTAAAGTTTGTCTTCAAGCTAGTGCTAAATTTTCAATAGTTCTACTTCTTTATTGTCTAATTGAGAAGCTATATCTCTTCCAGATCTCTTTGAAGTGGGAGTCATGCCCACAAACAGTGCTCATATTGACCAAACCAAATTCAGTTTCAGTTCAAATTCTATGTGCTGAAATGATTAGGTGTGAATCCTTACATTATTTGTTTTCACTTTCTGTTCTCCCAAAGTCAAGTTTTCTTCCCTTATAATATGATGCTGACTTGAGTCTGAAATTCTTAACAAAAGTACGGAATATTTTATGGAATAGAGGTTTGATCATAGAACTCGCAAGTTATTTTACATTTCTATGGAATCTTGCAACTTTTGCTGATGTCTTTCATTCTTTCTTTCTTAACAGTTGTTGCAAAAACTTAAGAGGTCTCTTCATAATATAAAAGCTGAGAACATTGTTTTTACATGTGTACACGCACATGCACACATGAGACATGGGAGGAACTAATCTTAACTATACAATCATAATGGATGGTCAAAGATTAAATCCTCTCACTAGATTCACACAAAAATTAAACTTAACCCTGCTTTGCAATTCATTTGTGCGAGTTTGATTTGGCAAAGTAAAGATTGTTTCCTTTCAAGTTTGAAGTTTGACTTCACCTCTTATTATTTACTATTACATCTATCCTCTTCCTTTTTATCCTTCCTTGTATATGTCTTTCGTATAAAACAATAATGGGGTTGTATGGCATGGAATTTTTCATTTTGATTTTACCTTTCTAGCATATGCCAAACCTTGTTTTAATGATGCTGCTTGCCTTTTTTCTCATTCCTAGATGGTTGAGGCAGCAAAAGAAACTACACATCTATGTGGAACCTCGTGTCAAGGTGGAACTTTTGACAGAGTCATCACACTATAACTTTGTAGAAACTTGGAATGATGGTAAGCAATAAGAATCATTAAAGGATACTCTTCACTTGATGTGTGCTTCACAAAATTGCACATCTTGTGCATTGTGTTATCTTTTGAGGTATTTATCAGGGACTTTTTTGCCTTTTTTGTGGATTCGTTGCATTTGAGAGGTGCCAAAACTTGTGTGAAGAATAAGGAAAAAGATGGAGGGAAAAATAAAGTTTAGTATTTACTTCTGTCAATTTATTAACTAGGATTATATCATACATTCATATGTAAAAGAATAAGGAAAAAGATGGAGGGAAAAATAAAGTTTAGTATTTACTTCTGTCAATTTATTAACTAGGATTCTCTAAACCCATTTGCAAGACACAGTTTCTCACGGCACCCTATCACAGGCTTTTTCTAAATCATTTAGACTATATGCTGGTAATGGTATTAGTATTTCCTTTTATTTTTGTCGAAGCCCACAATAGGTACATAACCTTTATGATTTGACCACACAAGCCTAAAACCAATTTTGTTCTTTGATATTGGAAAGTGGATGGCTCAAATTCTACTTTATTTTGTACCATTGAAACCAATGGTCTTAACTTTAGTTTCATATTAACCTCTAATTCATTTATTGGTTTTAATTCATTTATATCTTATATAAATAGGGGTTGAGTTATTAGTTTTTACATCATCAATTTATTGTTCATCTTTGTTTCCTTTTAAGAGAGGCTTTTTCTTTGTTTTATCCTCATCATTATAAGAGGATTTTGCACTCTCTTCTTAGTGAAATTATATTACTATCATTTCATTTTGCTTCTCATAATTCTTCAATTCATTTTGAAATCTTGCTTCTATTATAGGAGTCAATCCTAGATAGAGGCGCGGAGCAGTTGACCCAAAAAATGCTATAGTGGGATAGCGAATAGTGGGATAACCATCATTTTAGGCATTTTAAATATATCTAATATAAATTAAATTTCACATATATATATATGCTAAAAAATATTAAATTAAGACCCAAATTAAAGACATGAAATATTAATGAAAACAAAACAAAGTAGGAGAATCAAAATAGAGAAAGAAAATAGGGAAAAAAAATGTTCAGTCATGAAATATGTGCAAGTTCACTAGAAGGTTTGCGGGAAAGTTGGTCGGAGATGTAGATGACTAGAAAATGTATGGGTGACGTCGGAAGCTTCGTTGAACTTGAAGTTGAAGAAGACAACTAAAAACAATTTGGGTCATGTTGGAAGCTTCATAAGAGTTGAAGATGACCGAAGAATGCCTCTGTCGTGTCAAAAGCATCGTTGGAGATGAAGGCCACTGGAGGCAATGGAATCATAGAGAAGAGATAAAATGAGAGGAGAAATGAGAGAAGAGCTGAGAGATAAAATGAAAAGCTTAGGGCTTACGAAGAGAAGATGTCAAAAAATAAGAGGGGGCAAAATCCCAAGATGCCCCCCCCTATAAGTTGCACAACATTTAGAAACACAAGTTTGGCATTTCAGCAAGAATAGAATAGTGGTTGCGACAGTCGTTCCTTTGAACCGTGAAGCTATTGGGTCTCTATAGTTGCGCCGTGCTTCTCTGCTCTGCTCCACCGCGATAGCGGCCACTATTGACTACTATGGCCACATAGTGCATATACCTTAACAAGTGCTATTAAGAACACTTATTCAATTAAGACCAGTCGTTATAACAACAAGACCAAACACATTGACATAAAATATCACTTTATTCAAGACATGGTTGTTGTTGGTAAAGTTGTAGTAAAAAATATCCACACATCTTAGAATCTAGCAGATATGCTTATTGAGCCTCTTTGAAATACCAAGTTTCAACATTGCTTGAATTTGGTTAGTCTCTACAAAGTTTGAAGACATGGTGATGAACAACTAGTTGAATTCGAGCCAAAGTGGAGATTGTTAAGTGGATGATTCAAATTCCATTTTATTAACTACCATTAAAACCAATGGTCTTTACTTTAGTTTCGTATTAACCTCTAATTCATTTATTGGATTTAATTTATTTGAATCTTATGTAAATAGGAGTTGAATTATTAATTTTTACATCATCAATTCATTGTTCATCTTTGTTTCCTTTTAAGAGAGATTTCTTTGTTTTATCCTCATTATTATAAGAGGATTTTGTACACTCTTTTCTTAGTGAAATTATATTGCTATCATTTCATTTTGCTTCTCATAATTCTTCAATTGATTTCGATCTCTTGCTTCTGCATAGTGCATATACCTTAATAGATATGTTGGTCCCTTGCCTTACCCTTCTTTTCAATTGTTCTTTGGCTGAATGTTCCTTGTTTTTTTCCAAAGTAAAACCTTATAAGTGTCTTCCAGTTGTTAAAATTATAGTTGATTAGTCAAGTTATTGTACGCCATGTTTTCTATTAGCTTCAAAATGATGACCTGCTAGTTTCAGTACGGCAGCATTCAAATATTATTAGTTATCCTTGATGCACACCAAGAAAATATTGTACACTTAACATGATGCAATTTCTTTGTCGGCATAATTTTGGAAGCTATGCTCTTTTTCTGTGCTTATATAATATCATATCAATTCTCTGTTTAGATTTTAGCTCATCATTCTGGCAGGACATAATGCCAAGATTATAAGAGTTTAGCTCAAAATTAATGGACCCAAATCAATCATCAGTGAACTATTTGATGATAGTGGTTGCATGTTTTTATTATTCCCCAAATCATAACTATTTATGAGCGTCAATTTTTTGTTTTTAGATAAGGAAATTTTGATGCTGCACACTAAAGTTGACCTTGTGATAACTCTTGGTGGAGATGGCACTGTTCTATGGGTATGTGAAATCTAGCTTTCTAGTATTGCAACAAAACTGAGAATTTCCTTGATTTTACTCTGTGGAAGTAAACTATTTTTTATCCACATCTAGTCAAGGTTAATTTTTCAAAATTTGAATCTGTCAACTTTGTCACCTAAAATATGGTCAGAAGCCAGAAAAGTATTTGCATAAACCTTGTGAATAAGCCACAAGGAAGTCTTTAAGATTTCCTGATATCCATAGCACTGGTCCCTGCAGTTTAAGCACTTTTTAAATTGCTAATCTTTTTTATTTTTGTTAACAGTATATATTGCTAAATACTTTTTATGAATGATTCTATGCATTGAGGTAGTATTGCTAAAATTGTACTTTTAACTATTTATTCAACCTAATATATACACTAAAAATAAAAAGCTCTTTTGTTTTATTTTTGGAGTTTAAATTTCATTTAAGTAACATTTGATCTTAGGTCTATTATAATCATTGTTTTACTTTTCCTATCTGTTATGTTGGTTTGCTTCGTGACATTGATTAGTACTTTTTCATGTATTTAATGTGCAGGCAGCATCTATGTTCAAAGGGCCAGTGCCTCCTATTGTCCCCTTTTCTTTAGGCTCTCTTGGCTTTATGACCCCTTTCTGTATCCTTCTGTATTCGTGTATATTATCTTACTTGAGGAATACTAGCAACACATTCTTAACTAGCTAAAATTTATTGAAAACTACAAAAGTATAAGCGAGAAACATTAAATTAAAAGTGAGAAACAGTGGGATCCACATAATTTTATAGTTTTTAATAAATTTTAATCAATAATAAAGAGGGTATTGCTGATATTCCTTATCTTACTTTTTATTATAATATTTGCTTTCATTTCTAGTTGGAAGCTGAACTTAACCATCCTTCAGACAGTGAACATTACAAAGAATACCTTGAATCAATTTTAAAGGGCCCCATTAGTATCACATTACGACACCGTTTGCTATGTCATGTTATACGAGATGCAGCTAAAAATGATTATGAAACTGAAGAATCAATGCTTGTTCTAAATGAGGTTACTATTGATCGTGGAATATCATCTTTCCTAACAAATTTGGAATGCTACTGTGACAACTCCTTCGTCACATGTGTGCAAGGGGATGGATTAATCTTATCTACAACATCTGGTAGTACAGCATATTCTTTAGCAGCTGGAGGATCAATGGTCCATCCACAGGTACTTTGTTGAAGAGTTTCTTATTCATAGTCTTGATTGCAGAGTTTAGCTGATTTTTTTTTTTTTCTAGTTGACAATGTTTGTCTCAATAAAAAATTCTATTATCCATAATGTTGTTGAACTGCTTTTGATCACTGGCTTGAAGTGTTTGCTTTGACAATTACAAGTTGCTTTTCATATTCTTTTTTCCCCTCCTGTTAGGCTGTTACTGGATAGATACCTCAAACAGTTTATCTTTTTATTCTTAGATAACAATTTACAATGGAAATTCCGGCCAACCCTTCCCTTGAAGAAGTTGTTTCCCCTCTTTAGTTTATATAAATATTATCAATACGCAGCTCAGTTTGAAACTTGAGTCATCAATCTGCAGGTTCCAGGTATCTTATTCACACCAATTTGCCCGCATTCCCTATCTTTTAGGCCATTGATATTTCCGGAGCATGTCACTTTGAGGGTGCAAGTACCATTCAATAGCAGAAGCCCTGCATGGGCATCATTTGATGGCAAAGACAGGAAGCAGTTAGCACCGGGAGATGCACTAGTGTGCAGCATGGCACCTTGGCCTGTTCCTACAGCTTGTCTTGTTGATTCTACCAATGATTTCTTGCGCAGTATTCATGAGGGTCTCCACTGGAATTTGAGAAAGACACAATCATTTGATGGCCCCCGGGAAACATGACATCTTCCTATCCTTCTTTCTTAGTAGGATGCCTTTAGAAGCTTAGAGCAAATATAGTTGGAAACTGACTAGTCATTTCTCAAGATAAAAAACAGGGTGTTACAGAAAATCTAGAAACAAAACAATTTAGCGTAGTTTTCTTCCTTGTATTGTATGAATAGCCACTGTAGTTTTAATTTATTACACAGCTAATGGCCACCGATGATGAAGAAAAATGTAAAGCTTGAGTCGTGAGATTATTATATTACAATATAATGTAAGATCTGAATACAGCTGGGAAACTACACTTTATTATATTTACAATAACTTTTACGATTATTTCCTACGTTGCCCCGTTCTCTCCCCCGTCATTTTTAAAAGGAATTAGTGTTTGAATCCTCAAGTTTATAGAATTAAATAAATTATAAAATACCAAATTTTAATTATTTAGCAATCTCAATTGTACTTTTTATAGATTACAGTCAATATAATGTAGGTTTTGTTTAATTTGTTTTGGAAAATATAATAGTTTATCTTTACTACGTTGAAAGTTTTTTAAAAAACAAGGGACCATTTGATTTAAGAAAATGTCTTATTGATATTAATTATAAAAATGCTATCTTATTTTTATTTTTTAAATAAATTGTCTAAAAATAATGATAATAAAAAAATTATTTTCTTTGCTTTTAATACAACTTTTTAAAATAAAATAAAAATAAAGTAACATTTGTATAACTAAAAAAATTGAAAATATATTTTTTCATTTAAACAATTATATTTTACAATTTAAGCTATTTTAAACATTCATTATGAAAATTACCGAATATGTAGATCAATGGGTAAGAGTTTTTCTAGCTTAATATGTCATGTAATGTAAGCTAAAATAACATGAAAATATTTTATAACTTTGCGTTATTTTTAACTTAATATATTACTTTTTTATATAAAAATAAGTTCTTTCAATGATAAATATATGGTATAAATTATTTATTTAATAAGAGCTTATGGAGGTTAATTAAGTTGTCCAAAAATAATAATAGTCTATTTACAAAAGTTGGTTTCACCAGCTTACAAATTTAGTCTGTCTTTTTTATTTTTTTAATATCACGTTACTTACATCAAAATTAATTTTCAACTTTGATTGTTAAACAATGTCTAAAAACATTCGTAAGTAATTTATTAATAATCATCAAAATGCCATCTGTTAATGTTCAAAATACACTTGCTGTGAGTGATAAAAATGATTATGAATCAAGAATGAAGTGTTTAGCTAAAGTCATTTCCTACTTTTAAAATTTCAAAGGTATAACTTGATATGATTTTAAATTTATGCATTTTATATTTCAGATATAAGAAAACTTTAAAAAGCCTCTAAAAAAAATTGGCCAAGTATCTGTACATCCTTTGAATGAGACTAATCCTCGTATGAAGAAATTAAAACATCCTCGTATTGATTTTATATTTGCCAATCAGTACACTTCTGTTACATTTTTTATAATTTACTATAATACTAAATTAAAATAATATAACAGAAATACAAGTAAACCTAAATTTAGTATAAATAACAGTGAGTTGTATAATAATTACTTTTGAGTTGTGTTTGAATGGGGTAAAATTACTATATTGCATGCATTTAAATAGTAAGAAATTTTTTTTAAATATTGTAAAATTGTAATTATATAATTTTTATGCCAAGTAAAAAAAAAATTCAAATGACTTATTTTTAAAAGAAAATATGAAAATCTCTTTATTATGCTTTTTTTTATTTTTATTATTCATAACTCCTAATACTTGACTTTCATTTTAAGCATTTTTAATTATTGATTTCTTGAATTTAAAATTCGGCAACCAGACCCGGCCTTATAAAGCCATTTTGTCATGTTAGTAACATGAAAAGATATTAACTGAACTTTAACACAAGATAGAATGAGCAAATTTCTAAGATGCACACAGGGAAAATGCACTCAGGACATCAGGTTGAATTCAATAGCGATTAAGAAAATCTCCTCAGGCAGGCATATCGATATAGTTTTAAAAACAATTCTAGCATAATTCTACCAAACAAGCAAGAAATTAATCAATAAGCTAATTTTGTAAAATAATACACAGCCTGTAGATCATGCTATAGGGAAAAAAGATAAGGGGAGGGCATAGTTCAATGTAGAGAATTACTTGTATTAGTAACAAAAACTTGTTTCTTTAATATCTTGCAATAAGATGCAACTTTTCAGTTTTCATCGAGTATCAAATTATGTCCTGGTAACAAAAAATAAATTATGTCCACATCCTCATGCCATAAATTGAATGAGGAAACTCTTGAGATGAAGAACACGCATAGTGATCCGCAATGAGCATGCAAAAATAGAGGGGACGATAACCTATTGGGCTATTCCTACAACCAAACTTCTGCTAGCCTGCAGGAAAATAAATTGTCTGGTGGTCCAGTACTGAAGCAAAACAACATCTTGAGAAAAATGTAGTCAATCAAGAAAAATCCAACTCATGTGATCTTGGTCTTGGGCCTACTGAACCCCCACCCAACGAGCATAATCCACCCACCTGTCATGGCAAAATCACAAAACATTAGCCACTGGCAACAAGCAATGCTCCATTCACAAGTAATCAGAAAAAGTATGAATTTTCTTACAATAATGAACCCAAATACGTATTGCCAGTCCGCACAGCAAAGCAAAATGCACTAAGTAAAAGCTTGTGCTGGTGCAGCAAAGGTTCCAACATCCTCTGTTCAATAATTCCAGCAAGTACTTGATACCTGTAAGCAAAATCAGAATCCTAGTAAAGGTTTTATACAACAATCAACATAAAGTTACAGAAGACAAGAACAGGCTAGAACATTTTCAAATATGATTGAAAGTAATAATAATGTTAACATACTCTGTATAACAGAAGTTAAAAGGTTCAATTTATAAACCGTGAATTTTCTTTAGAAAATTAAGCAACATCATAAAATTGAGCAAATAGCATCTCCCACAACAATCAGCATTTCAAAATATTTGTTTAACTTTTCCAGTAGCTTTATTTGTCTATTAAATGTTGATTAAATCATTAAATAAACATTTTTAAACATGCAAAAATGGAGAAGAAAGCATCAAAAATGGAGAAGAAAGCATGCGCTTTCTCTCCAAGCAATTCATCATGATATGTACTGAGATGCTAGTCTGTAATCAGTGACAATAAGTCCAACATTATGAACAACGACAAGCAACTGATAATAATTACTTATATATGGGTGGGTAGCACTCACATTATAATCATATTGATCATATTTTTTAAACATTGATTTTTCAATGATTCCTATAGCATTTAAATCACTAGTGTTTGACAGTGAAATAATTTTTCTAAATGCCACAATGACCATTTAAATGGATTACGTTAGTTACAAGTTAGTGCAACCCAGATGCACAAAGGTAAGAGCAAGTTTGAAGTTAAGACCACTTGCTCGAATCATTTGAAGGTTTTATATTATAAGCTTCAAATAATCCATCACTAATTACATCATCCCTTTTACCTGAGGTTGCTAGAAACTGCCATATAGACACCATAGGCAGCACTGGTAGACAATATGGGAACATTTTCAATTTCCCCAGCAGCAGACTTATCAACTGCCTTCTTTGCATTAATTAAGGCATTTGTCATAGCTGTCCCAACCTGAATGGAAACAAAATGCAGTATATATTAGTGTCTCAACTCAGTTATTCCACTGACATTTAAAACACTTGAGGGAAATAAGAATCGGCAGGATAATTTATCAAATGAAAAGGTGATATACGACAGATCCTTGGAAACTTTTTAGGCCATTCACTATCTCATTCATAAGAACTAGTAGATCAACAATTTCAAATTCAAATTTGAAGAACATGTATAAAAGCAGTTGATTGTAATAGTGGAAATGTGTTACGCCAAATCAGTCTCATTCAATACATCCAATGGGTGAAAAATAAGTTCAATACAAGAGCAAGTCAAGGATCAGGATTTACACTAGCACTGCATCATCAACAAACTGAACTCAGACGCAGGTGTGTAAAAATTAATCATACAAAAAAATATAGTAGAAAGTACATTTAAATAGCACCCACATAAAAATTAACCATTCACCACACCTATGAGAAATATTTATAAATAAACTATGTGAAATACTAGAATTTCTGCAGTACTTGATCTGACTGGAACCATACCCATAATTTGAAGACTAAAAACCTTGTGTAGCTCTCTAGATTTGTTGCAATCAAACCCATAATATGAAGGCAAATCATAAATGAGAAGACTGCATCAGTCAACTCAATTGCCAAAACATGAGTGCCCTTAACTATTGCAATGATTAATGAATAAACATAAATAAATACTCCTAAAAGTTATAGAGAAGAGGAAGACAAGAACTAACCAGTGATGAGGCAGTTCCAACTGCAAAAAGCTTAGTTCCATTACGCTGAGAAAGGTAACCGCATTATAACAATTAGCCATAGAAAACTAAAAGAAAAAAATGAGAAGAAATTGGATTAAAATTGCAAGAAAAGACAGAATATACCAAGTTGTACATACCACAATTGCACCTATCCTCTGTAATATGGAATATGATGTTCCAGAGAGAGCAACCTGTTGAAGGAAATAAAGAATATGATATTACTAACATTTATTTGTGAAAATTATATAAGGAATCAAAACAAAAACACATCAATATAACCTATGGGACATGCACCTGAAATGCATTATCTGGGCAGCTGTGGAAAAACTTAGCAATGGGCCCTGCACTGCCTGCAAGTGGTGGTCTAAGAGCTACAGTAGGTGCAGGAAGATAAACCAGCATGAAATCTGCGAGTATGGCCATGACCTATGGACAGTAAATGTAAACGGGATGTTATGCCATTGACTACAATAAATGTTTCACAGGAAGCAATATTTTCTATGGACTGTAGCATGTACAAAGTGCAAATAACACACAAACAAGACACAAATGTATTAGGGTGCACTTAAAAAAAACAGTTTAATTAAATGCTTATTGAATAAACTCTTATCACATGCCGATTTATAATATAAATTTGACAGTGAAACTTATTGGAATAAGCTAAAAAAAGAATTTATTATGATAAGCAGCACCAAGAAGTTTATAGAAATAAGATAACGAGAGCTTATGAAAAAAAAAAATCATAAATTATTTTCACATGTTCCAAGTAAGCTTGTCCAAACTTCCTTTTAGAAGTAAAACAACGGAATTAATTCAAATGTTAGTACATAAATTCATTAGCGTAGAAAAACAAATTCTGTTATCCAAACAAAGAAAAGTCTTTTTTATTATAAATATTATAGTCACATTGAGCATCTATCTCCATTAGAGTGTTCCAAATAAATGATGGGAAGCATGCATACTTTTTTCTATAACCTACAAACAATTGAGCAAATAAAATATCATCACCACATGGGTTACCATGGTTCACTCTCCCCATTGAGAAAAATTCTGCTCAAACCACCCACTACTTAGATTGGGGTTTCAGCATTTGATGTGCTTTCCCTGCTAATGCAATTATATAAGACAGAATAAGAAAGAGCAGAGCAGAGCCCAGACAAAAAGTTGAGGGATAAAAAATGCTTTTAAACACAAGGATGACATAATATATGGAGTCTGGACATATACAAGAACCATAAAAACTGTCCGAATTTCTGAAATAGATCATACAAAATTGGAACCAATACCCAAAGAAACTAGCCGTTATCAATTCCTCTAGCTCGTCAACATCATTAAGGTACATAGTGGCATCAAATCATATATATCAAGCTTGTGTTTTGAGGCGAAGACATCGTAAATGATATACTGTAACAGCAAGTAAGGAAATGTATGCAGAAAGACGGGCAATAATTTTTGAAGAAATTGAGAATACTCATACCACATCAGCGAAGACAATTTCGAGCTCATTGAAAAAGTTTTCTCTCCTGCGATCATACTCAGCAGCAGTCTAGCGAGGGAAGAAACACAAGTCACAGAAGATTATTAATCAGCACATAAGCAAACATAACAACCATAAATAAAAGTATCATTGTTCCATAGCATAATTAGATCAGACAATAAAAAATCCGTTAACCTAATCTTGTTGCTCACATAATAATATGCCTATGTACACGCTTATAACATGATTGACACAGTATTCACCATCAATAAAAAGAACCATAATTAGTTGCTGAATGATGTTTAAACAATGAATGGAAGAGAGAAGAGAGAAAGGAACCTTGGTGAAGACGCCAACGCCGCATTCCATGGCGACCTTAGCAAGGAAGAGATCATCGGCGAGAAGGCGCTCCTTGAAGCCAGGAAACTGAAGCAACCATCGGAAGAATGGAGACTTCTCGAGCTCCAGAAACCGAGACACCACGGCAGCAGGAATCTTCCCTTCCTTTATAGCCGTGGCCAAGTCAGCCGGCACGCTCTCCAACGACTTCCCCGCCGCCGCCAGGAGCACAAGCGCCTCGTTCTCTCCGCCATTGCCATCCTCGTGGCCATCTCCATGACCACCGCCGCCACCATGACCTCCGAATGATCCGCCGTGTCCGTGGCCGTCTCCGCCGCCGCCAAAGGTGCGGAGAAGGAAGGGATCTGCGCGGCGGTGGGTGCGGGAGAGGGGAGCGGGAATGGGAGTGAGAGGGAGACGGAGGGTGGAGAAGGAGAACGAAGGAATCGATTTGGAAGAAGAAAGGGAAGTGGTCGAAGGAGGATTGATGAAGGAGAATGCGATGGACATTGTTCTTAGGACTCTCTTCTTCTTCTTCTTTGCTTTTGCTTTTGAGTTTGCGAAAAGCTGATTCTGTTCTGTTTTTTTTTTTGTTTTGTTAACAGTTAGGAGTTGTTTGTTTGAGTTAGTAGCATTCGAGTGTTTGTTTGGACTCTCTAACCATTTAATATTTGCTTGAAATTGTTGTTGCCTTCCCCGTTTCCCTCTTTCCGCTGAAGGCGATGGGCGTTACTTCTTATATCATTTTCACTTGGTTTTTATGTTATTCTCTTATTCGTTACAATATATATTTTGTTTTTATAATTATTTTTTTACCAACTATTTTTTTATTTACATATTAGTTTAGTTTAAATAATTTTTTTACTAACGAAATATTTTTATTATTTTTTATATCTTAAATTAATTTGTTAGTTCTTAATTTTTTAATTAAATTATCAAAATTTTAATTAAATATGTGTAATTTTAAAATATTTTAATTAAATCCTTAACAAAAAAATATTATTACATATTTGTATCAATGACATAATATTTCTAATTTATTAACATTTTTGTTGTAATTATTTTTTATAAATATTTTTTTTCAAATTCTTAAAATCTTGTTATTACTTAGCAATAAATAACTCAAAATAAATTTAAAACATATCTTTCAAACTATATTTATGCTTACTGTATTGAATACTGAAAAAAGAAATTTTATTGTTTGTAGTAATTTTATTAGCTCAAACAATATTATTTCAAGTAAAATATAACTATGACAAACAAATCTTATTTGTGCTCACATATTCAATATGCTATAATTTAAATATGATAAATAATAAAAACTAAAAAATTAAATAAAAAAATAGACTCACTCGTAAAGCTTAAAATTTATTTTTACGAAACGTTTAAATTTAGAGTTTAACTTCTTCCGTTGTTAATTCAAGTTTTTGTACTAATTTTATATAAATATTTTATTACATAAATCAATGAAAGATTAAAAAAAATTACTTTAAATTTATCTCTACTAGCACTCAAAATCTAAATGTCTCGATAATAATTCAACTTTAAAGATATCATCCACTAATAACAGCATGATTTAAAAATTTTAAAAAGCCACTTATGAAATTTAATTATAAGAAAATTAAAAAATATATAAATCACTAATTATATAAAAATATTATGTCATTTATACTTGACACACTATAAAGATTAATAGATTAATATAACTTTTTATATTAACTTTTTTCTATACATACTTATCTAAAAATTTATTCAATTTAGTCATAATAAGTTTTTTTTAAAATTAAAAAATATATATTAAGATTTAATGTATTGAAATTATTAAATACTATAATTTTTAATAATAATTTATTTTTAATATATGTCTTCAAAGCCTACTAAAAAAAGTATTAAAAATTAAAATATATTTTTTAATTTTAATTTTATAATAAATATTTAAAGATAATTTATGTGATATTTTGAAGATGAAAATGATATTTTATACCTTTCTAATATAAAATAATCATAATCATTGATATTATATTAAATATATATTATTGATGATAAAATTAGTGATCAATATTAAAAAATATAAATATATTTTTAATTTTAAAATATTTAAATAACAATAATTATCAATTTAAAAATAATATAACATGTCCTCTTAAATTTATATATATAATAATAAACATTTTATTTTAAATTATTACTAATCAATTCTTGTATTATATATAAGAGTTTGTTATTTAATGAATGAAATATGATTTTTTCATGTTACATATATATTTTATTATTAAAATTAAAATAACATGTAAATTATTTTTTTTATTAAAGTAATTTTACTTTTTATTCATGTTTTTATTAATTTTATTTTAATTTTAGTAATAAAAATTGTGTTTTATTATATTATATAAACTTTGTTACTCAAGTTTACATTATTATCTGTATAAATTTTTAGATTTTTTTTGTGAATATTTATGTTTACATTTATAAATTTTTATGTATCACCTTATATAAATTTCAATTTTTTTCATAAATATGTATTTTTATAAATTATATATATATATATATTGTAATTTATTTGATCTTTATTAGTGTATTATATTTAGTTAGTTTTATAATTATATAAAATTATTAAATTTTATCTTTATAATAAATTATGACATTTTATATTTATAAAATTGTATTTTTTAATTATTAAATTATATGTATATTAATTTTGAAATAATAAACGTGGAATTAAACATTGTCGATATTAAGAATGCTGCAATATAAACATATATTCTTAAATGGGGGAAAAAAAAGTAATATGCTTTTCATTTAAATATCAAATGGATGGAATCATGATAGGATGACCGAATCATTCAAAAATAATGGCATCGAAATTTCAGAATAATTTGGGGCAAAGAAAAGTGTAATCTTTTTTTTTTTTTTTTGTTTGGTCAATCAGTGTCGCCTTATATATCATAGGAATCCATAAGCAATTGCACATTCCAAACCTATTTTATTCTCTTTTATCTTTCTTTTCCAAAAGTTTTACTTTATCAAAAAATACGCACAATAAAATTTATCTTTTTTCATTGCCTTTTCTATTTCCTCGTAAAGATATTCCCTTTCATAATTTACTATTAATTAAGTTTCCTTTACCTTTTTAATTAAAGAATATTGAATTAATTAAATATAATTTTTTAATGTTAGAGATTACCAAATATCTTCAATTTTAAATGACTTAACTTTTTTCATTAAAATTTATGACTGCCATTGTTCCAAAAAATAGAAAATACTCTCAAAGGAATTCAAATATAAGACCTTTTAATAAATAAATTCACCTCACACTTGTTAATACAATCAAACATTTAATAAGTCCTTCAAAGAATTATTAATTGTAGATAAAAAGAAAATAAATTACTACTTATAGATATCAAAGTAAGATAGTAAATAATTAATATTTTCATATAAATTAAATTATCTAAAGTATAAATTTAACGGCTGGCTTCTACACATAAATGGTAGTAAAATACTGGCTATTACAATAGAATAAATATTATGAGCATTGAGATAATACTTGAGCAAATGAATAATTTAGTTACACTGAATAATTATATCACATACATAAATTTTCAACAATAAATCAAGTAAAAAAATATGTAAGAAAAATAAACATTTATATTACTTTGTTACAGTGACATCATTGAAGAGAGACAAATACTAGTAACATGCTATTAATCATTTATTAAATTTTTTTAATTAGTTTACTTAAAATTTTTCTCTTATAATTTTGTAATTTTTAATAAATTTAAAATAATTAATAATTTATTAGAAAATATGTTATAAACATCTCTCTAAATAAAATTAATAATTGCATGATTATCAAAATGAAACAAAAATTAATAAATTAGTATACACACTTGAACAATATTATTAAAGTAACTCATAATATTATCAATAATTTCTCATACATAGTTAAATATATACTGTACTACTATGAATCATCATCTTTGATTTAAATTTTTTTATTAAGTATGATGAAAATTATGAAAATTGCATTAGAATACAATTTATTACAACGAAATATTTATCATGTTTGTTTTTTTTTTAATTTCAAAACTGTCACTTTTTTTTATTAATTTCTAATTTTTTATATAAAATACTAAAAATAATTTTTTTCTTTATTATTTATACTGATTCTACCCCTTTCTAATGAAGGATGTATATGTGATGTAAAAAAATATGAAAACATTTTGAATGAATTTTTTAAGATAATAATCAAAATAAAAATAAGGTGATAATTTTGCAATTAAAAGTAAAAACAGAAAATAAAATTAAAAAACATTTTGTGAAACTAAGTAGTCCCTTAATAAACAACCTCAATATGATGATATTTAATATATTTCATTTTTAACCATATATTTACCAAAAAAATATAGACAATTTGTACTAATAATTTAAAAAATACATACATATTTTACTAAAAAATTATTTAAATATTTTTCTTATAGTATATTATAATTATAGTTTAATAAAATTTAATTTCTTAATATGTGTTTTTATTTTAAGTTATTTTTTCACATTTACACGTACTAATGTAATGCGTGAATATTATATCTAAGATGCATTTATTCAATAATTTTATTACATAAATGGTTTATATAACTAATTAAAATAATAAATATAAAATAAAAATAAAAAAACTTATTTTGGTAATTATATAAAAATATTTATTAAAATAAACTGAAAAAACTTACAAAAATTATAAACTACTTTCACAAACTCTATATAAACTTTTTAAATACCCAAATAATTTAGTATGTCAGCATATAAAATTGATGATGAAATAAATCAATATTAAATATTTGTTTTTGGCTTTTGCATGATTCTGAAAATCATTTGTTTTAATAGATATTCATTTTAGGTCTTTAAATTATAAGTATTAATCAGTTTAGTTTTTGACTTTATAAAAGTTTACATTAACGTTTAACTTTATAAAATAATATTTATTTTTTTAATAAAAAATGACAATGACAAATAAAATAGAAAAGAAATTAAAATGAATATTTTTAATTAAAAACCAAATTAAATTTTTTGTACTAAAATACGTAAATTTATAATTTGAGAGACTGAAATAGATATTTCTTAATTAGTTATCTATTTGCTATGTTGGATACTACTGTTTCTAATTATAGGTAGTAATCACAATTCTAGAATTGCTTTTTATATTTATTTAAATTAAAATAATGTGTATGTTATATACTTTTTATAAGTGAATTTTAAGGTACTTTATAAAATAAAAAGTATATATGCTCTTTTACCTAATGGGTTAATGATTTATTAAAAAATTATAAATATTTAAGATATTAAAAAAATATAATATTTAATTTAAAAAGAGTATATACTGTAATTATAAGTTTAGAAGTATAGTAACAAGTACTTTTTTTTTAATTATGATTTTTTAACATATATAAAAATAATAATATTTAAAAAAATAACAGACAAGATGGAACAATAGAAAAGACAATTAAGAGTTGGGACAGCCGGCCCTTGGTCCAAGCTCCAGGGAGTTGGTGTTATTAAGGCCAATTTATTTGTGCTCTCCGTTAGCTTTTGGTGGCACTTTCTGTCAGCTCAATATTCAACGTTGCTTCCCTAAACTT